TTTTTATTTTAATTTCAGCGATCTTTGGTTGATTTAAAGGAAATCTGCTGAATAAGCAGTATATGATGTAGCATCGATGTGCGCATGCGCATTACCACAACATAGGAGGGATTTATGGGTAGCACAGATAAACAGAACACCTGTTGTGGGTGGAAGGAGTCAAGCGACTACCGTCAGAGCGGGGGTCGAGGGGTTGCGACGTAATTACTCTAATACGGGAAGTTTACGGGGAAGTGCTAATACGAGAGCACGCCGGGACAGAATGGTAAAATACGGTAGTTTCCCGGCCAAAACGGGAGACTTGACGGGTATGAGTTGAACAGTAGCATGAATACTCGAATGCACCACAAGACGTAGTGCGGAAGTCACACGTCTTCAGCTGACGTAGTACGGAAGTAAACAATCCTCAGCGGACGTGGAGTGAGGTTCTTGTCAGTTCAACGCCTGAAATTACTTATTTAATAGAACAGTAGCTCATTTAGTTCGCATAAGTTCAGAGAACGCTACTTGCTTTGAGTGAACGTGGGCTATAACGTTGGCTATAACCTCGACTGCAAAATAGATGGCGTCGGTTGAGGAGGCCAGTAGGCCGTTCGCTGGGCTGTCAGACGTCTCCATATCGGAAGAGATACCAGTGGAAGGAGATATTGCCGTCCCCGTCGGCCCATCCACAAGAGACGATGAGTTTTCCACTCTAGACGAGCCGGTGAAGGAAACTATTGTGCGTGACCTCCGAGCCGTGGGGAACAAGTTCATTCACGTGCTGTATCCAAAGCGGAGCTCGGCTCTGCTGCGTGACTGGGACCTGTGGGGTCCGCTGCTGCTCTGCGTCACGTTGGCTCTGCTGCTTCAAGGCGGCGCGGCCGACAAGGATGACCAGGGAGGACCGCAGTTTGCCGAGGTAATCAAGCTTTTTCAAACATTCAATCAGTGGGTTCTAATATCTGAGTTACAAAATCCTCTGGAGTGTTCCTCTTGGCCGTTCTCCATATGAGGTGATGTAGAGGATGTACATTACGTCAGTTATGTATGAGGCTACTTTGTTGAGACTGCAACTAATTTAAGTTTGAACTTTATCTTCGTAGAAGTTCAGGCACGCAAAATGGCTAGGCACACTTGAGAGAAATTATATGTCAGTACAGTTTGAAATTGTGACGTTAATGCATATTATGAATAAGTTGAACATATTCCAAACACAGCAGAAGTATACTTGCCACCATGGAAGATTTTCTCACGTCAGTTCATTGTTTAATTATAATCACAGCAATTTACTGTAAAGTATTTTTTCCTGGAGAGGGGTTGTGTGATCTCCAAGCTTCAGTCTGACTTCTTTAACTGCAGTGGTAATAGTCAACTCATATTCAGATACTGATTTTTTTGGAGCAGGATTTTTCAACTTGCCCAGGCATCAGCTACACATAACAATGGAAATATTTTGATTAAATTAGTTAATGTTTATCTCATCAAAGTTTTGTGTTTTAGCAATGCTTTGTTTGGGACTTATCCACACAAATTTATTTCTGAACTCAACTTTGGTCAAATGAATAAGGTCCTGGTAGAATAACCAGACCAACAAGGACAGTCATTTAAATGTCTTAGTGCTTATTTTCTAAAGGGAGAGTTTTTAAAAAACAGCATTCTTACTGATTCAATTCAGTTAAAATAATTGATTATTAAGTGATAAAAGAAATCCAAATTGAAAAACAAATTTGTTAATTTAATTGTCCTGTTTTCACCAGGTTTATATCATTATTAGGTCAAGCTGTATTCCAAACAGAAAACACTTTGTCACACAGAATTTTATTTTCAAACATTTATTTTTGATTTGTGTAGATTGTCCGTCATCCAGGACAGAGCAATCCTTGTTCTCAAATAGAAAGCAGATGGACTTCTTGTCTTGTTTCTTTAAGATGTTTCAGTTCTCAACCAAAAGTTTTTCTGACAGGTGGATCTAAAAATTCTAATATTGTGAAATAGTTGAATAACTTTTGTCACTTTTGGACACTTCACCCTGAACTTCAAGCAACATGGATGCCTCTCCACTGTCTCCAGACTTTCATTCAACCCCCCAAAATGCATCTTGCATGTGCACACCATGTAAGATCAGATGCTCAGAACCCGTTGGTGTTTCAAAGTACCTAAAACCAAAAACATGACTTTCTATAACTGACAGCTTTCTATATTATAACACTAGTAGAACACTGAAGTGCAAAGTGATGTAGCTCCATTCTACTCTGCTCCCTCTGGAGCTTTCTGTTTCATCTTGTTAAAATCAATGTAAACTGTAGGTATCATCACCTGACCTATCGTGCAAGTCAAACACCTGCAGGAGATTTTTTAGTAAGTAAAACACTGATATTGGAAGGAACTGCTAAAGTCTAGTCCCATCCACCTTCACTAGTGGCTTCAATAGAACTCAGTCTGTATTCTATATAGTGTGATTTGGTTAAAAAAAAAAGGTTGCCTCTTCTCAACTGATCTCCCCAGTCAGGCAGTTTACAGCACTGGACAGGAAAGTTCAAATTAACAAAATGCAAATTAAAACAGTGCTGCATCTCATACTCACCATACATATGATAAAATACAGTAGAAACTTTTCATGGTACTGTGTGTGTAGACTTGTGACTAGCCATTATATTGCTACTCACTATCAGAGACTGTTACAAACAAAAGTTTGACTATTAGTCAGCATATGATTAAAAGAGCAAAAAACAAGAATTTGCCAAAGGGGGATTCTCTAATTTTTTCCAACTACTGCTTCCCTTTTTTTTTTTTACTTCGTAAACCTGTGGCCATGGAATGTTGTTTTGAATGTAATTCTGAGTTTATAAGTTTTGCAATAACTGACAACTGTACTTTTTCAAATTGTCTCTCATCCCAGGTCTTTGTCATCATTTGGTTCGGCTCTATTGTCATCACTCTTAACTCCAAGCTCCTGGGTGGCACAATCTCTTTCTTCCAGAGCCTGTGTGTACTGGGATACTGCATCATGCCTCTGACAGTGGCCCTCATTGTGTGTCGGATTGTCCTGCTCAGTAGTTCAGGGAAGGTGAGCTTTGCTGTTCGACTGGGAGTGGTGACAGCATCTTTTGGCTGGTCTACCTTTGCTTCTACGGCCTTTCTTGCTGACAGCCACCTGACCAACCGCAAGGCACTCGTGGTATATCCAGTGTTTCTCTTCTATTTTGTGATTGGGTGGATGATATTGACATTTTCATCAGGAAACTGACAAGACTATTTTTGCTATGTTGGGAAGTAAAACCTGAATTTCCATATTTAAACTTGGGTGACTACTGAGATATTCCAAACTTTTTAGAAAAAGTCAAAACAGTGCTTCAGCTAGAGAGAAGTTCATGGATGTTTTTTTTCTTCTTATTTCTGTTTACTGTCAAGCATTAAATTTTCCCTTCTGTTTTGTAATTAGAGGGATTAAAGAATGTTACCCAGGACCAGTAGTCGACTTGACACAAGAATAAGTTGTTTTTATGACTGTTCAACATTATCATTAAAATACATTGATAAGTTTGGATGAAATTATGGGGTGTTTTCTGTCTCTGGCTCAATGTGTTGCAACATTTTATTGTTTTCATCTAGGAGCACCAAAGCTACAATAGAATTATGCTTTGTTCCAAACATGTTATTCTTTTTTTATTGTATTCACTATCAGTATAGTTCCAGATGTTAGTATTCTAAAAGCCCACTTTTAAATATGTGACCCAAGAATGCAGTGAATATAGAGATGCACTTTAAGGCTCTAAAGACAAATCTTTAAGGTGCACTACATGCTGAAGAGAACTAAAACAGAACAGATCTTTTGAATTTTAGTTAAGTGCATCACCATCTGGTGGCTACCCACACAAAAATAAGTTATTCTAAGTTTTATTCTATTATCTAAATTACGCTGTTATTGGCTCTTTTGTTATTGCAATGTTTTTAAGTTTCACTTCAAAATGTTAATTACCGGTCTGTCACAGTGGAGAGAGCTTAGCCAAAAAGTGAAACTCTAGATTTACCGGTCAGTCTACCTTCCTACCCTGATCTATGGTCAGCATTGGGTCATGACTGAAGGAACAAGATCATGGATACAAGTGGCCGAAATGAGTTTTCTCTGTAGGGTGTGTGGGCTCTCCCCTTAGAGACTGGGTGAGAAGCTCACAGTCTACTCAGAGTAGAGTTGCTGCTCCTCCATGACGAGAGGAGCCAGTTGAGGTGACTCGGGCTGTCCTCCAGGATGCCTCCTGTCCTCCAGGATGCCTCCTGGAGGACATTGAGAGGAACCCTGGAGGGACTATGTTTCTTAGCTAGCCTGGGAATGCCTTGGGCTTCCCCGGAGGAGTTGGCAAAAGTGGCTGGGGAGAAGGAAGTCTGGGTCTCCCTTTAGGCTGCTACTCCTGACTGCGGACAAGTAAAAGAAAATGGTGGTTGGATTAAAAACATTAAAAATGGAGATGATTTTTAGAAAAGGGCATATGTGAATAAAAATGTAGCCAGTGGATTAAATCATTAATATCTTAATTTCACCTTTCATCCCCTTAAAACAAAAGGTCACATTTTATTATACCAAAACTTAAAAGAATTGATTTCTTGTATAAGATCCAGTTTTGAAAATCTTTCTAAAAACATTTATGAAGTTGCAATTTTTGAAAAAAAAAAAAAAAAAGTGTCAATATCTGCCACAAATGCACAGGAGTTTATATTTATATTGAATTTCTTTTGCAGAAAGTCATTACAGGGAGAAAGTCATACATAATTTTGAAATTCATTTCCTGATTTTTGTGTGAGTGGAAAAGAAAGGTATATGGTTCTTATTTAGAGATATCATTATTCTTAAATGTTTTCTTCTTGGGATAGAGGGGAAAAATTGACAGGGTATTGTGAATTTACATTTTTTGTCCCTATAGCCATTCATAATCAGTGATGGCTCTTTTTAAGTAACAGCTAAACATGTAATCATACCTTTAGCTGAATCATAGGAAGGATTGTTATGCTGTTTAATTGAATGTTTGTACATTTTAATATGTATTTTAGACAAAATCATCATATTAACATATACAATAAAAAAAATTGCCATTAAAATATGAAGTTCACAGAGCAAGCCGTCTGTCGCCAAAAAAAAGTTTTAGAACGTAAAGAATTGAAATAATTTTTATTTCACTTTACTGCGAATACATCAAATTTTGCTCTTATTTTCAACAAGCAAAGCCCATTTGGACAGTCAAATATCTCCTTTAATGACTTTGGAAAGCAAAAATACCTATGCTGTACATTTTAAATCGATTATTTATTGTAGTTGTGTTTTTTAGCAGCACAAAGGCCTAAACACTGATAGGTCCGCCATTTTGGATGTCGAAATTGATCTGCAGGGCACATGGTCCTAATTCTCAAATTTTTGCACGCTTGTAAACTGCACACTTGAACCCTTGTTCACTTTAAGTAAACACTTCATAGAGGGGCGGAAGGTTGAATACGCCCCGGGGACCGGGGCGTATTCAACTCTCCAGGTCGGCCCCTATAGGATGCTTGCCGCCGGACGGTTCTCAGTGTAACGCTAAAAGAACTCGACCGTCTTCCGGTGTAAACATAAGGCTGCAGTTGGAATAAATTCGCCGAAAACTTCAAAATAGCGACCCTTTAAAAAGCCTAAAATTTTTAACAGTATATTTACGCACTAGGTTTGTTGATTGTTGTTCTAGACGCTGAGTGCATGAAGTAATGGAAGGGCCACCGCAGCTACCACCTGAACTTTGGGTTTATGTGTTTAGCTATCTTAGCACAGAAGAAAAACACACGGTTCGCTCCTGCTGCAGGCACTTAAAGAAGCTTATCGACCACCCATCCCTATGGAAGGACTACACTGTGGTGATGTCCGAACTTCGCCGCTACACTTACGGCTTCTGGCACACATTGAATTACCGCAAGCTCACCCGGGTGGCTGTGCGACATCTGCGGCGAAAAGAGTGGCGACGTCTGGTAAAGTTCCTCCCGTCGCTCACGGCCATAGTATTTGTAGATGGCGGGCGACAATATAAAGAGAAATACATGGACAACCTTGCCCGATTTCCCAACCTACGTGACCTCGGGGTACGGAACGCTACTTGGGATGAAGCGTTGCTTGGCCACAGCCTAACGGAGCACCTTCAGGAGCGCCTTACACACCTGAGCGTGTGCAACGTACGGCTGCCCAACACTGTGGAGTTCATAAAAACTGTGTCCCAGCTGGTCAACCTGCGCTTCCTCCTTTTCCACCAGCAGAGTGAGGGTTATGGGCTGGACACGGTGAGGCCTGTTCCCCGCAACGACTTCCACGCCATGTTGCTGAAGCTGAAGAAGCTGATCCACCTTTCCTGGGGGATGAAGGGGGAGCCACCAGAACCGCTTCCTGACGACTACTTGAGTCCACCGAATCCAGAACAGCCAGGTATGCCTTCTCCTTATACCTGCTGTCATAGCTTCACAAGTGACAGCCCGAATTATACACTGTACGTTCAATCCCATTTAAATAGCGTAAATATACTTATTTGGAGAACAAGCAACATACACAAACGGTCTGCGTCAGAAGGAGCCTTCCTTTGGAACAGACCGTCATATTTTCCCTGTATTTCCTTCACAATGGACACAGGTTCAAAACTACTATATGTAGCTTCATATTTAGCAAACCAGAAATCCACCTTAACGTAAGACTACATCATGGCCACTGTTGTCTTAATTTTCACCAGATAGTTGATGGACAACAATAACAGCCGAGTAGCAGTTTTATAGATTTTCCAGCTTGAAAATATACAAACTATCACTTTGCTCCAGTTATTTCAGTTAATAAAAATTAGAACTCCTTAACCTCTCATGTAATCCAGTGTTAAAGCCATAATCTACACTCCTGGATCTGCTATTTAACGTTTTCCTTTCTGCTGCAGGAATGTCTTCGTATGGTGGCCCGGCACTGACCAGCCTGGAGCTTGTGGACTACCCAGAGACTATCCTCCCTGAAAATGCTCTGAGGAGTCTGACCTCACTGCGGTCTCTTGCTGTCCGCTACAGGTACATCAGAGAAGGGATTGAGTGTCGACTCAGGTCCTGGCTGATCCCTCTGCGACAGTTGGAGTCACTCACCATCATTGGTGAGTTCTGCTGCCTTTCAGCATTTTTTACATTCTGTAGTTTGTTTATGCTGATGGATGGTGGATAAATCACAAGTACACAATATTAAAATGTTCTTAAAATACATTTTAATATAAAATATTTAAGATTTTAATATCACATTTTTGTAGCTTGCTGATCTGGTAATTAGGATGTGAGTGATATTTATAATGATATTTAGAAACATGTAATTAGATTAATCCTAAACTGACTCTTTTCTTTTTTTTCTTCATCAATACTGTTTGAGTTTTACCTCCTTGCACAGTGAGAGTAAACATCAGCAGAGGTCTAGCCAGGTGGTCCTACCCTCAGTGTAACAGAGCTCAGCTGAGTGCCAACAGTTTGTAGTATAAAGACAGCTGGAAGGTCCATTCACTGTGTTCCTGGCTGCCATTATATCAGGAAGACTAAAGAACACACCGGTTTTGTCAGGTCATTTTACACAAAGAGAGCTAAGCTTGCATCATGCTGTGTAAATCCCACCACCAAGGTAAACGTCTCATGTTGATGCAGTGGACTTGTGACAGTCCAGATGTCAGCCTTGCTAAAACACATTTGTTGTTTCCTAAAAGCTGTCACTCAGAACAGTTGCAGGCACAACAAGGAGCATGAGGAGTTTGAAGCCTCAAGTAGAGAAACGGTGGAGAGACCAGGCCTCTGTGCTAGTAGGTGTCCTGGAAGCTGCACCCTTCAGACACCAGAAGCCTCTGCCTAGAAGAGTGCAGCTCAAGTGGAAACAGCCAAAGTGAATCAGGCAAAAGGGAAGTTCTTTAGAATCATGTGCTGATATCATTTTTGGTTAGATACACAAAAACACCGAGCTTATCCAAAATCTGGTACTTTCAATATAGGTTCCAGTAACAGATCCCCGTGAAAGTCCTGTTGATGGGAGAATTTAGAATTTGATGTTTTCATTGAATTTGGCACAATCACTGTGTTGGTTCTGAGAGGAAATGTTCTAATATTTCTGAAGGTGGCAACTCCCTTGCTACATACACAACCACCATCCCACCCAGTGTGACCAGGCTGACACTGCGAGTAGCCATAACTCTGAAAGACATGGACTCCATTGCTCCTAAAGTTCCAGGACTGGAGCACCTGGACATTGAGCAGAACCGTTCTAGTGGAAGCCTGTGCAGACGGATCCCCATGCTATTTCCTCATCTCAAGACTCTTAGGATACGGTGAGTGGCAATATTTGGACACTTGTTACTGGAATGCACACTTCACTAATGTTTAGATTAGATTTAAAGATGAAATCATTATAATATGTTGACTATTGCTACATTAAACCTTATATTCACAGAATGGGGGAAAAATGTAAGAAATCATAAAATCATATTTTCAAGGTGTGTTGTCTGTGTTGTCTGTTGAACACAAAGGAATTTTAAAAATTAACATCATATGTTGAAAAAGACAATTGGAGGACTTATAAAATTGCCTTTGTGAGTTTTCCATCATGCTATAATGTTTCCCCCATCAAAAACATTCCTGAGCTGTTGCTTTTATTCTTTCATGCATGTTTGAGAAATCGTTGAATCTCCTGTGGCAACCATTCTGAGTGCTTAAATGCTTGCTCTCATAAAACTGTGCCTATGAGGTGAGAATGAGCTTAGTGGAAATTTTATAGCAACTGAAGATAACGGTACTTGCTATAAAATGGCATTATGTTCTTGGAAATACACAATACTGCCCCTTTAAGAATTTTGACGTGCAGCAGAAAACTATAACATAACTTTTCCTCAATGAATATTTCCATTACAATCTTCTTAACTGTGACATTTGATGACATCCATCCATTATCATACATGCTTGTCCCTAGTAGAGTCCCCAGAGGTGCTGTTCCTATCTCCAGCGGTTAATGGATGAGAGATGGGGTCACCCTGGACAGGTTGCCAGACCATCACATGTTGATGATGACATAGAAAAATCTAAATCTTCCTGTGATAAAAACAATCATGCGGATCGCTATCAAAGAAACAATACCAACAGAGCAACAATTATCAAGGCCCCTATGATCCAGTATCTGCCTTAATCACTATCCCATGTCATTGTGGACGACCTATGACCTTTCAATGCTGTGATTTGTGCTTTGACCCACAATTCAGTGCCTCTCACTGTTTTAGATGTGATCTGAACAATCCCTAAACATGAACAGCTCTGTTTATTTTCTTCAACCTTTAACATGTTTCTCATGTTCTCATCTGCAGATTTTTCCGCCGGGAGCCAGAGAAAGATCTCCTTAGTCTCCACAAACTACGACACCTGGTGCAGCTGGAACTCCTGGTTGAGCGCTCCTTCATTCTGAGGGATTACCTGAACGGCCACCCGTGGCCCAGCCCCTGTGTGCAGGAGCTCATCAATGAGCTTCGGGATCTGTCAGAGAACAGGATCACAGTCATCACCACAATGCGCCAGAGAAACCTTCTAAGAGAGTGTGACTGTTTGTGGGAGGGGGACTGATCTGCTTTACATAGGGCAAGACAAAAAGGTACACGGTTCATAAGTGCAATGCTCAAAGACAGTCAAAAAAAGTTCAGAGGTTAAAGCTGCAGTGTTTGCCAATTTTCCTAAAATGAAACATTTGGATTCTGTATGTACGCATTTCTTAATAAATTGACATTCATATCAATGGCTGAGGATTCATAGTGACCTTTTAGCTGATTAAGTACCGGCTCTAACAGATTTCTGTGACTTTCAGAAAAGTCAAGTGGTACGCTTCAAGACACAGTTCTGGGACTCAAACTCTAAAATCCACAGCTTTCCCACATGGAACAACGCAGCAGTCTACCTGTGTGTTGCAGAATTCTTGTGTATAAAAACCTGGGATAGGTTTTCCTAAATGTTCACAGGTTTTAGAGTACACAATTACCCATAAAGACTCATTTGATACAAAACAAGAAGCATAACTGAAATTATGCAGAGGTGGGAACTCTAGTCACATGACTTGGACTTGAGTCAATTAATATTAAGACTTTAGACTTGACTTGAAAAAATGTTCAGACTTGGATTTGAACCTGTTTACTTGAAAAGACTTGATATTTTACCCAAAATATAAAGTGTAAAACACATATTTATAAAGTGACCCACTAATTCATTACACTCAGTCATAACATGTTTTTCCAAGCCACATATAGACACATGAGTGCCAAGATGCTGGCACCGGTGTGCAGCTGCAGCAGAGACCTGCTGCTGTGCAGAACTTCACAGGTGTTACAATCATGGCAGCAAAGAACTTCACACAGTTCCTTCCCCCAAAATGGCCGATTAATGCTGTTGGATGCAGGTAGTGTTAGCTACATGATGGCTAGCTGATGCTATTATATCACATTAAGCTTAAGAATAGGCTACTAGTATTGTTTATCTATGTTCAAAAGTGGGTAGTACTGTTTACATTTAACTTTTTGGGAGAAAAAGGTACTTTTCAGAGTAGTTTTACTGCACTGTACTTTTTTCTTTTACTTGAGCAATATTATTGCTACTCTTGAGTAGATTGATTTTGCATTTAAAAAGATTTCAGATTAAAAATAGTACATTTCTGCAACATATGAGCTAATGCTTATGCAAATTTGAGCATAACATTTTATACGTCACTGTTTATTTTGCAATAAGCATATCCTATTTGAAAAGTTACCCAAAGATTTGTTTATGCATTTATATTAAAGCAAATGCTTGTTTAGTCTACCCCCCCCCCCCCCACAACACACACACACCACAAAAAAAGGGGGGGG